ATAAATCAAAGTCAGTAAATGAGGGAATGTGCCTTAAGCAGATTATGGCACTTGTCTGGGAGGAGAACTATGTTGGCATAAACATCATATTATGCAATTCATTGTTTTAGTGCATTTAATATATTATAATCACTATGCTTTCTGGTGTTTGCAGGAAAGCATGCACAACCTGGTGGTATGATCGATATCCTTGGTTTTCTAGTCATTTTTTCTTAGTTGAGTCCTTAGGTCTCCTGTTACATATTTCTTTATCGGAGTTTCTGTAAATCAGGTGCCCTGCAGGATGTGATCCGTTTGAATGATGTTCTCGCTAGAGTTGCACTTGCTAAGTTGTGCCATTCTGTATCCAAAGCAAATGCATTAGATGGTACACATTTTGAGAAATTTTAAGTTGTAGCTTCATCCCTTTGTTGTAGATGAATATCATACTTCTCTTATGAATATTGTCAGTTGAAAACCTAATGACATCTAATTGTTGCAAGCACAGAACGTCCAGATATCAAGTCTCAGTTTGATCCTCTCATCTGTCAGCTTCTCCTAGATCCCAGTGGAAGAGTTTGCTTGGAGGCGATACTTTGTGTAGTGGGTATATTTGAAAACTTAGAGAGGTTAACATTGCATTCCCTGTTTGTTACATTGCTTCTGATGAAGTGGTACAGCCTATAAAAGCTGTCTTCTCCATCTTATACCTTTGAATTACACCTATTCTCTTGCTTTATCTAGGACTGAAGTATGAACTGCTGGATGGTATTGTTTAAGCGGAGAAGTTCTGAAACTTCCTAATTCATCTTCTCTGAAGGACCTGACTTCTGAGGATAAAGATTCAGTTCCGGCAAAGGCCAAGATAGATAAGTCTTCTAAGACAAGGCATCCACAGCCTCTGATCAAGCTAGTCATGCGGAGGTTATTTCCTGTTTCATTTTTTAAGCTCGCAGTAGATCTATATGCTTTAATGTAGACTAATTGATAACATGCTTTGCACTTGTTTTTACGTCATAAGGGTATATTGTATGGATTTCTGGATGTAATATTTTTCACGTACTGGTTAGAAAGTTCTTTCAGAAGCTTTTCACGGCCTATATTGCATGCAGCGGCAAGAGTTGTACAGGAGATGGGAAAAACCCGTGCTGCCTCCTTTGCCTTAGGGCAGTATATTGATGAAGGAACAGAAGTTAATACTTTTTCTGAAAGCATTGACTCGTATGATGCAGATATAAATCCAACTGCACCATCTGAAGGTAGTGTGTTGATTGTAACTTCTTTAGTTTTTATTTCCATCATAGCTTTTCATAAATGTATCTGACTGATGATTATAATAGGATAAAATGATTCTAATGCATGTGTGACTAAACCACGACGCGTGTTTGTATGATTCCTTTCTTTCTTTGGAGTAATGAATCAAATGCTCAATTATCTTTACAATTTGTTCTTGACGAAGGTGTTTACATTGTCTGTTATGAGTCCTTTCTACTGTTTTAGATAATATCTAGTGGCATATTGGGTTATGACTTACACATAGCTTACAGTGCATGCTTGTGGTGCCATTACTAAGGGCCCGCCCATATATCATTTGGAAGTGAAGGCATCATTTTGTCATTAGATTTTCACAGAACCGTGAGAATGACATACTTTTGGTTTTGCTCTCACATGAGAACATGATGAATTAGAGCATTTTAAAGTCCTCGGCTCTTTGTGGTTAAGTCCATAAGGTTGGGTTAGTTCAGCAGAGCAATTTCATTTTAAAAGTGGTTTTGTACCTATTTGTTCTTGAATAAGGTGAACTTGATGACAAACTGACCTCGATATTTTTACTCCATTTCCTGCTGACAAATGGTCCTCGTTATTAATTATTTTCACGCAGATTTTGAAATATTTTGTATTCCTATTGACTGAATAGTAGTGTGCATTTTCAAAATTTACATTATGCAGCTTGTGATATGGTCGGATAATTATGTTTTATGATCTTGCCTTTTCCATATAGTGGATTATAATTCTTAATCTCTATTTGGTTGCTAGGTATTCGTATAGTTCCATCAATGTCTAGTGGGATGGCCCCAAAGGACACAATTGCCAGTTTGTTGGCTTCGTTAATGGATGTTGTGCGAACAACTGCTGCATGTGAATGTGTTTATGTGCGTGCGATGGTGATCAAAGTGCTGATATGGATGCAAAGTCCACATGAATCATTCGATGAATTGGAATCCATCATTGCATCCAAGCTCTCAGATCCTTCTTTGCTAGCAACTGTGCTGCTCAATGATGTGTTGCTCACATTGCATACTCGTTTTAAGGTACACATGGGGTAAACAATGTTCCGCTAATTTGGACACAGATTTCTTGGTGTTGTTTTCTGGGTAGAATGAGTCAAATCTATAATTTAAACTTGCTTTCTCATTGTTATTCTTAAGTCTTAACTTGGGTGATTTTTTTTTTTT